TCGGTTGAATTCAGATATCCTAGTCATATTGAATAGCTAATCAGATTCAGATTCGGATATGACCCAATTTGATTCGATAAATATCTGAATTCGACCGGTTATTTAATTTACTTATATATAATATATAAAATATTTAAATGTTTTATATAATTTAAATATAAATAATTAAATCATATTATATATTTATATAATTTATATAAATAAAATATTTATTTTATATATTTACCAATTACCTAAAATAATTAATTGGTTGAATTCAAATAATATTCGAATATTAATTTTCAATATCCATCAGATATCGAATAGAATTCGGATATCGGATTTTCTAATCAAATTCGAATTCGGATATTGCTTGATTCGTTTCGAATCCGATCCGTTTACACCCTAGGTGGGGGGTTATAGGTTGGGGGATGGGCGATGAGTGCATAAAATATTACCCATTTATCATGTATGTGTACGCCCAAACTGCCACTAACAATAAGAGGCAACCTTTTTTCAAAGATAAATAAAGAAAAAAAAATTATTAGGGAAAAGGAGAAAAAGATTACAAGGGGTGATAAGATATCACCCAAACCCATAAAATACCTACTTAAAACAACCCTCAAAACCACCCAACCCAAGGCAAAAAAGAAACCAAAACCTTCCCTTATCCTTTCCTCCCATCATCCCAAGCCCAAACTCGAACCGCCTCAAGACAAACCTTTTTCCTAAGACTAAATTTAGGATTCGATCAATTCAAACCTTCCTCTATTGAAAAATTACATTCTTTTTTCCTCTTAGGGCCCTTTCTTGTCTTCTTTCCCCTTTCATAATTCCAACCATGGTTTTCAAAACCGGACCGAACTAGACGGTTGGACCAGAAAAACCAAGAACCAGTCAGGTGATCGGTTCCGTTTTACCCTAGAACCGTTATTTTGCCAAAAAACGTTGATTTGGTCAGCAAACTGCTGACCCAAGCAATCGAACTGTTCAAACCGTTCAACGGTTTTGCTCATTTTTTATTTTTTTGTTAGAACGGGCCATCCGTTTGGTTCAAACGGTTAGACCGTTTGACCCGGGAACGGACCCCTGATCGGTTCGTTGTCCGGTTCAGTTTTAAAAACCTTGATTCCGACCACGAATAGAGCTCCCTTCAATCTATCAAATACCTTTGACACCGTCACAATTCTGCAACTATTCTGATGTTTGAATCATTTAACAGCAGAAGAATTAGCCTTAATCCTTCTTCTCTGCCCATAATCATCATTAATCCTTTCTAGTTCTAAAACCGCATTCTTCGCAAATACTTGCTCCGCTGTCAAAACCACGCCCTTTTCCGCATCTTCAATTAAAGTCCCACAAACAGAATTTGGACCTTCAGCCTTCTCTCCCAATAATCCCCCGGCCAATTCTTCCACCTCCGCAAAAGCTTTTCTAACAAATTCCTCTCCACCCAAGAAAAATAAACCTAGAACTTTACTAACCTCCACCTCTATGTCAATAACCGTTTCCAGATCAGCTTTCCCCTTGACCTCATGAGTTTCATCCATCATAACCATCTCTTCCTCTTCCTTTTCATCATTCAAATCTTCATTGGGAGGTTTCATCCTAAAGATCCTTCATTAACAGCCCTTACATTCTTCCTTAAATCCCTTTCTACTTCTATGCTTCCCTTCCCTTTTGCTCTCTCCACTGCTTCTATCCAAACACCTGCAGCAGTCAAACCAGGCCCTGTTCCATTTTCAATACCAATACGTTGTAAATCGCTTCCAGCAGGAAAATCCCACTCCTCATCTACCCCCTCCACTAGTAACCCAGCTGTCCTATCTGCCTCATCTTCCTGAAGCTCTCCATGCTCCATCCCATCAGCGACAGTCCCCAAATTCTCCTGTCAAACACCAATAGAGGAAGATGATGATAGACCAGAACATTTGTTCATCATCAACCCCCTCCCAATGACCCTTACATGATCACTTGAAGTCACCTGAACCTTTTCTCTTATCATAGGGCTATTAATAAACAAACCCTGGTCCATGCTCAGTCCAACAACTTTGGGCTTCCTTGCATTGGGTTCAACTGACTCAACCAAGCCTTCTCCCCTGTGAGTATTAACATCATCACGTGAACTGACCTAACCCGGATCAACTTCTTGACTGGAGCAGATGACCTGACCTGAATGATCTTGGGAAGTAAACAAGTGGGGTCTGACAAAACCCCCTTTTTAACTCCTTCGGCACAAAAGCTCATTCTCCCATTTTCTGTTTCCAATGCTTTACCCTTCCCAAAATTCAACTGTTCGCCTTCCTCAAGGCCACATCCTCCCATCCCACTTCCAACCCCCTCTGCTTTCCTTCCACGTGTGCACCACCCTTCCACCTCATCACCATCTTCAACCTTGGTAAGCCCTCTCCATAGCGACACTTCCACTTCCGTTGCCAGCCACACTCTACACCACCGTCCATCAGAGAGAGCATTGAACAAATGTGGTGCATCTTCCGGTTTAATCCCTGCCACTTTGTCTTGCCACATACAGATCAGTGATGTTGAAGCTGATGAGCACACCACCAATCGCTCTAGCAATGTTATGAAAGATTGTCTCCTTCCATAGATGAAAGAGAAGCCCCAACAGTTTCAGGGTGAACTCTCTGTCACGAATTTCCTTGCTGTTACATGACTTTTTTTTTAAGTTACTGTTACATTTTTCCATTCTTGTACCAGAACCATGCCTATCTCTGTCTCAAACGTAGAAGATTCCACCCTCTCTTCTCCCACATCCAGAAGGGCTTTCATATCATCGAAAGGTATCAATGTTACCTTATCCTTGATTTTCATATTGTTCACAACAGATGCCAAAATGTTGTTCCATTCTGTAACCTTTCTACTAGCGGTAATAATGTACCTCTGTTCCCAAAACCTTTACTCTGCCTCCAGCATGATTTTTTGGATTTTATTAGAGCTTATCATGGTTGCATTCATTCTGCAATTCTTAACCGCCTGACTGTTTTTCCTTTGTGAGCTCCATCCTCTGTCGTTTCTTTTCCAAAGCTTAAGCTCTGGCCCTCAAGCACAGAATTTAAATATTTCCTTTCGCTTTTTTCTTTTAACAGGAGAAAGAATTGCAATTTTTCTGCTACCAACTTCCAGCCCTTACCTTCTTTACCCTCCGGGAAACAGACCATTTGTTTTTTGTTGGTGCCAAAAAAATCCGAAATCACCACGAACCAACCTTTTACATTACTTCATAGTTCCACCTGATACCTTCTTCTTGGTACCTCCATAGAGCTTCTCCACCTATTATGTTTCATAGAAAAGCTTGCCCCATCGATAAAACATTTGAGCCAAAGAGTACCCTCACCAACCAACAACCAAAACCCCTTCTCTGATCTTCAAAGTTTGCCAGTCCTTACTTTTTCCTTCCTCGAACAATAGCCTCTTTGCTTCAATCACTAACTCATCTGTCCCAGTGTTTTAAAAGCACAAGGCGCAAAAAAGGCACAAGGGCCATTTTGCACTTGAGGAGCAAAGCGCAAGGTGAGGCGCACACGCCTTTTTGAGGCAAGGCGCACAATTTAAAAAAAAAAATAAAAGCTAAAAATTCAATGCGAAAAATTCAAAAAAAAATCAAAAAATTATAAAACATAATATTAATAAAAATACTAACTTAAGTTTTAAAATAAATGTTTTAAAAAACCTATTATCTAAAATTAAAATACATAAATATAATATGTAAAGCATATTCAAATGAGAATTTAAAAATGAAATCAAACATATAAAACATTTTCAAGCATATAAAACCCACAATCTCTTTTTTTTCTCAATTGCATTAAGTAGCTAATGTGACATATTACATTCTTAATTCTACGAGTCGCCTTTGTGCCACGCCCCTCGAGGCAAGCCCAAACAAGTCCATGTTAGGGTCTTAAATTCTTAGATTTTACACAAAAAGGAAAAGGCGGCAAATTTTCAAAAGGCGCACGCCTGGGCTAAGGTGCAAGGCGCACGCCTAGGCGCACCAGGCGTACGCCTTTTGAATGGGTTGCGCCTAGGACGTGGGCGAGGCACCTACCCTAAAATGTGCCCTGCCTGAGCACCTAGGCATGCCTGAGGTGCGCCTTTTAAATCACTGGGTCTCCTACATTCCAAAGATTTGGTATGTGGGGGTTTTGTCATTCTCATTCATATTAGGGAAAAGAAAATCCCATTGATTGTTGGTTCTGACAGAAAATTAATATACTATACCACACACAATGAGACTAGGACTATGAAGACTGACCACACAAAATTGATAAAGGAATTTCCATGCAACTAAGTCACAAAAATATAATACATGATCATGAGGTAGCTTCTAAGCAAATAAAAAAAAATCCAAAACCCTAACTAATAACCAATTCAACTGGTGAAGAATATGAATCCCCTAACATGTCAAGTTACCTTTTCAATTACCATATATATTTAGCTAATGCCTTTTAAGTGGATTGTGATGCATCTCACATTGGGACAAGAGAAACTCCTCAGCTAAGATCCATATAGTACAATGCTTCAACACCATTGTTGAATCTTTGAATATCAACAGAACCACTTAAGCAAGATATTATATTCTTATCAAATCATAGAACACTTAAAACAAATCATAGGAAACAAGACATGCTTCTAATGTTATTTTTGATGAGTGAAAGCTAATATTTCCAACATTCTTACAGCAAAAACAATTATAAATAATGTTGACAAATCCAGTTCCAATACTTGCTCTTTAATGGTTTAGTGCCTTTAGAGCATATTAAATAGCATAATGTAATAGAAAAGCCTATAAAACCCCTACTACATCAGTATAAACAAGAAACCTAACAGAAACTACCACTTAAAAAACTAAGGGGTTGTTCACCAATATGTATGATTTTGATTTTTTTTTTAAACAAAATCAACACTGGGGCCCCAAATCAGTGAAGAAGAGAGAGGAGGAGGAGGAGGAGGAGGAAGAGATAAGACAAAAAAGAAAACAATTTGAAGCTACAGAAGAATACCATCTTGAAGAGCAGCCATGACTTCTGGATCCTTGAATGCTGCCATCAACTCAGGATCCTATTTCAAAAGAAAATAGTTAAGAAGAAAACACTATCAATAAAAATCACATCATGTGCATCTAGGATGCTTAAAAATAAATATTCTTTTATTTGCTCTGTACATGATATAAGTATATGACAATTCGTATATCAATATTCAAGACATAATATGGATGCAAGTATCTTATCCAACATACTGACATTAAAATTGGAACTTTAGCTTTCTGTTCTAAATATCTTATTCAAAGCCAAGTATCTTTTTACAGTACTTCAATTTAGATAAATAAAATAAAGTTTCATGTAAATTGTAAAAAAGCCCAAAACTAGCTCAGATGGCTATGGGCATCTTACTATATTAACACAGGTCAACAAAAAACTGAAAATATCCGTGCAGAGAGGCATAGGTACAACCATGAAATAGAAATTTGAAGTAGGGATATAACCACCCAAAACTAGTAGACATGCTAAGAGATCAAAATACCAAGTTACCAACAATCAAAAGCAAACCCAAGAATAAGAAATCGGTGTATACTCATTGAAACTAAGCACTTACATTCAGGATTTTGCTCATATCAATATTTCCAGGCATTCCACCTGGAAACCCTCCAGGCATACCCCCAGGAAAGCCCCCGGGCATTCCACCAGGGAATCCACCAGGCATGCCTCCAGGCTTTCTACTTGAAGATGACTGCTCCTGCTTTTTGGCCTTCTCGTATGCAGCCTACAGAGTTTCATGAAAACATATTAGTTGTGTGACAAACAATCAATAGGAATTATTTCCTCACCAGATGAATATAACAGCCATTACCTGAGCTTCGGCCTTTCGACGTTGTCTCTCACGCTCAATTCTCTTCTCTTCTCTCTCCTTGCGCAACCTTTCATACTTCCTACGGTGTTCTTCAATCTTATGAGCATTGGGCTCAACCTGTAAACCAACCAACAGGTCAAGTTCTGTAAACATTCCAAAAATACTTAATAGATGGGTAGAACTGTAGAAGAGAAATGATAATGGATAGATAAAACCACCTTCTTAAGTACTGCATTGATTTCCTCATCATAATCTAATTTTGATGCTAAGTGAAGGTCCACAGCAGCCTCCTCCCATTGGCCAAGCATTGATCGTGCAATACCACGAGACTTGTAACCTTTAGCAGAATCAGGATTGATCTGGGAGAATGTTTATAAATAATTATATGAAAGGTAAGCACAAGCTGCACAACAAACCAGAAATATGCAGAAGGCAAAAGTATTTGCGTAGTCTCGTATATAATACTAACTCTACATCCATGTGCATGCTAAGTCATATTATAAAGCCAGTTTATGCATGCAGATTCTTCTGCATAAGATGCATTTATTTTTTATTTAAGGAAAAAAGCCTGATTATCGTATTGCGATGCAATCAAACTAGGGAGAAGAGAAATGACCTCCAACGCTGCATTGGCATCCCTAATTGCAGCATTAGGTTTCTTCATTTTGATATACACGCTAGCTGCACAAAAAACAGATAAGCAGTGGAAACTCAATATAACTTAACTCACAAGACGAAGTAAAACGATTAACAGAATACGAAATCCATAAACAATACCTCTGGTTGCATACATTATCGCAGACATTGGATTCAGCAAAATTGCCTCCGTTAGATGGTCGATTGCTTCCCCCAGCTTACCTGATTAAGATAAAATTATAAGATTCTTGTAAAGAAATAATACATAAAAAACATGAACAAAAACATACCCTCTGAAATTGCTTCCATGGCTTGTGCCTTGGCTGCTTGAGACGCATCACGGTTATCGTCCGTAACCTCAACAGACGGGTCTCCCATCTATGTGGATAAAAATCAGCGATAAAGAGCCATACAACTACACATATACACACAAGACTACTGAAAACGACGGACTCAAAATGTTGATTTATTTAGCATTCACCTTCTGTGGAGGATCATTGTCCGGCTCTAGAGTCTCTCCTTCAAGCTCGATGTCCGATTCGATAAGTTCACTCTCGTATCCTTCATCAGCTGTAGTTGATCCTTCTGGGTGAGAGCCCTTACCTTCTAGGTCATCCATCTCCTCGTCGCTCTCATTCACCATTTGGGTTTTCTATAGTTGAATTGCCAAGTTAATAGTTTCAATAAATTCAACAAAATGCAAAGGGAAAAATAGAAGAAGAAGAAGAAGAAGAAGAAAGAACTACAAAAAAAAAAGTTCAAATTTCTACTTCTGGGAACACTCAAAACCCAACACAGCGTAGGTATAGAAAAGATGAAAGAGTACCGAGCTGCGCGTTGGAGGTGACTCGCCATGCTTGTAAGCTGGGGGAGGAAGTTTAGCGCCGAGACTGAAAGAAACCCATCGAATCGAGAGAAATGAGATAATTCGAACAAGCAAACATAGAAAGAGTTAAGTTTCTCTTTGTTTGATTGAATAATTTATACCTCTCGAGGTAATCTCGGAAGAAGGAAATGGAAGGATCGCTGAGAATGGAAGGATTGGACTTGCATTGTTCGATGAAGAGCTTCAACTGGGTCACCTTCGCCGCATCCATGGCGTCTTCTCAATAGGAAAAGCGAGCGGGATATTTCGCAGTTCTCTGTTTCTCTTCGGTTTCCACTTTCTATAACAAACGGGAAGTTGACGAGGCAGCGACAAAAGATCTGGTTCAGTCCGTCTAGTAGCTTCCAAAGTTTCGAATAGATAGGCACTAGCGGTTAGCCAATTATTTTCACTTTTGGACCACCCGGATCCCGACATTTCGGAGCCTATACCCGAAATGAAATTTTCCCATAAATCTCAGGATTTTCGGCTGATAATCTAATGGGTACGCTTGCAACATGGATCGAGTTAGTCCGAATCTAATCCGAACCCAGCCTAAAATGTAGGGGTGGATTGGGTTGGGTTGAAGTTCGGGTTAGAATTAGGGTTAGGGTTAAGATTGAAAAATATGAATTTGACATAAATATGATTTGGATTAGAATTGAAGCCTAGATCAACCCTAACTGGATTTAACTTCATATGTATAAATATTTATTCAATTATTTATAAATGAGTCAGATCGTTGCATATGTGCACAACATATGTTTTTCTTTTTGGGAGGTAATTTTATAGACAATTATTGCACGAACTTCAAATATATAAAAAAAAATTACTTTAATTGCTATACTCAAAGGACTTCGGAGGTTGCTACCCCTAGTTTTATGTAGTACAAAGACCCCCCCTACCATGGGTTTTTACTGACAAATACCCTCTCAACTTTCATTTGTTAGAAGACCCCTTTAAATTTCACCTTGCAACATATACCCCCTGATGGTTAAATTAGATGTTAGAATATGTTAAATTACCAAAATGTTTACATAAACTCTTCTTATTTTCATTTTCTCATCATGTTTTTCTTAAACCCTAATTGACGAAAAATACTTTCATTTTCTATACTCATTTCACTAGTATATAAAAAAGAATAAATTCTTTATTCATTTCACTCACTTCAATGTGTCTCTTCATCTTAAAATATAAAAATTATCCACTCCTTTCTCCAATAAATTAAGAAAAAAAAACTAAACCATAAATTTATATCTATAAGGAATAAACCTATATCATGTCATTTGAACATTGATTCCAACCAGAAATTTGCAAAGGACCTATTGGAGCAACCAAGAGGGTTTCAATGTTATATTTAGAAAACTAATTAAATCATAAATCATTCAAATAAAATAATCAAATGGTAGTTTGGGAATTTAAAAAATTTTAAACAGCTGAATGAGTATCTTTTTTTCAAAGTTAACTCTAATAGTTAGGGTATTTGTCACTGACCCCATAATATAGAGGGTTATTTGTAATTTTATCACTATTTATTTGTTTATTTATTTATTTATTTATTTATTTATTTATTTATTTATTTATTATTATTATTATTATTATTATTATTATTATTATTATTATTATTATTATTATTATTTCAAAGAGGAAAACAGAGTGAATAATAGGAGTAGATATCATGGATTCACCACCCAGTTTTGGGTTCAGTAATTTAAAATGATTTTTTTAATGAATTTAAAAACGATTTCAAAATGAGAATATTAAGGCTATGTTTGGTTCAATTATCATTCTTTTTCATTCTTACCCAAGATAAAATTCTAAAATGGAAAAGAATGGGTAAAAATAAGCAAAATGAGAAAATATTGCTATGAACCAAATGTTTTTTTTCCTAAAAATGAATTCTTTCAAATTGACAAGTGTACTATGTTGCTCATTTTCATTCTTCAAAAAAAAATTCACAAACTGCCAACCTAGGTCTCCAATAGTCAATGTTTACCAATTGGCATAGATGTTTTTGTAAATGTACTTTTGTAAAAGAGCTTTTATAAAAGTACTTTTGTAAAAGTGCTTTCATAAAAGTACTTCCATAAAAGTACTTTYATAAAAGTACTTTTGTAAAAGTTCTTTCATAAAAGTACTTTCATAGAAGTATTTCCATAAAAGTACTTTCATAAAAGTACTTCCGTAAAAGTACTTCCATAAAAGTTCTTTTATAAAAAGTACTTTCGCAAAAGTGATTTTATAAAAGTTTTTTCGTAAAAGTACTTCCATAAAAGTGCTTTCATAAAAAGTATTTCCGTAAAAAATGTTTTTATAAAAGTGCCTTCATAGAAGTATTTCCATAAAAGTGCTTTCATGTAAAAGTACTTTTATAAAAGTGCTTTCGTAAAAGTACTTTTGTAAAAATGCTTTCACAAAAGTAAACATTTATGGCAAGTTGACAACAGTTTTATAGGTAGAGTTTCCTCAAAGAATGAAATGAGCAAGATGGGACATGATTATTTTTCATGCTGCAAGCTAGTCAATTTTTGTGCTATGGGGCTGATTTTTCATTCTAAAAAGAATGTGGCATGGGCAAGAATTTTATAACCAAACACTCTAATGTTATTCATTATTGCCCATTCTTGCCTAGAATGAGCAAGAATTAAGAAAATGAGGCCTAAGACAATGAACCAAACATGGCCTAAATTTTCCTTATTAATTTCTTGGGTCCAAACTCCAAAGCCTGGCTTGGGCTTATATTTTAGCCTCAGGTCTGGGCCTGGGGCCTGGGCGGCTGGGCCTGAGCTATAACCTTTATCATCACCCTCTTATTTACCAAATCTGCTATTCAAATACCTAGCTCTCCTTGGGATGTTGGACTAGTCGCTTCATTCTATTTCATGTAGGCCATCTTACCCCTCCCATTTCTCTCTCCCCATAGAAACCTCTTTGTAGTTTATCCATCTTCTTTAACGCCCCATAGTCGAATTGAAAAACACTCATGAGATATTGAGGGATTACTTAATATCAACCTTAATTGGATAGAAGTCCCTTGTACAAGTAGTCATTTCTAGCTGTTAACAAGGAAGTATAATGAGGTGTTCCACCAGGGGTTTCATTTCTAGTTGTAGGTCAGTAGGTGTCCCCAAACCACTTTTTCTCTCAGATCTGAGTCAAAGGGTCAATGGTCTAGTCATCCAATTCAACATGTCAACCATGATATTGACAACCCATTGAATTGAATGGGTCAAATGGGTCAATGGTTCAAATATCGAGATTGAGATTGTGGACTCAGTCCAACTTTCTCTTTTTTTTTTCTAATATAAATATATAGTGCATGAAAGGTTTACCCACTTAGAAAGAAGGGTATTTTTCAAACAGAGATGACCTTCACTAATGGTTAAAATATAGGCTAGACCGTCAGAGAACAAGTTTTGCCTGTTCCCCTTTTGAAGCCACATAGAAACAAAATGAAAGTACAAACCAAACTGGGGCCACTGTTTGATAATTGCTCAAATAGATGTTAAAAAAATTCCTAATTTAAAAATGGCATAAAACCAAGAGCACCATATATTTTGATATATGATAAAAAATTTAGGCGTAAAATATCACTCCAATTCATATATGCTTCTATGAGGGCTAGTTAAGCTGCTTTGAAGAAGCTACTGAAAGAGGCGCTCATTTCAGCTGAGAGGGCTTTCACATTTTGGCTTTTGGCTTTGGAAAGAACTCCTTAGCCACGGAAATTGAGAAAATCTCCGAGGGAGATATTTCCGGTGCATAGCTGTAATTAGTGGTGGGAGGGATGTAGCTCTTTGGAAAGTAGTGCCTAACCAAAAAAACCTACAAATAATGTTTGGTAAAAAGAGTTAAAAAACATAAAATGAACAGCCATATTTAATAAACAAACAACTACTTAGGTGACTCTTCGCACAAGCCCTTTCCACTTGCAGTAGTTTATTCAAAGCACCAGCCATATTTAATCAACAATTAAGCGACTGTACTGTGACCAAAGTTTGGCTCTCCAAAATTTGAAGAAATTGTTCATCGGGGCTTTGTGAGTGGATCCCACTTGGGAAAGTCAAAAACCGCAGTGAAAGCTCTCCCAAACAAATTTTAACTCCTAGAGGGGCCCTAATCAAACTCCAACCTTTATAACCGTGAATAATAAATCAATAATGTCCAACGCCCCCCCCCCCCCCAACCAACAAAATGTCTGTGTTGCCACTTGTCGGCGTTCACGTAGCCTCGTGGTGATGAGCTAACAGTTCCAACGGTACTTTCACTTCACATGGTTTCTTCTATTTCCTATATATAATATAACTACTTTCATGAGTACAAGAACGAAGAAGTTATCAATTTTTTTAAGGAAAAAAAGGAGGAAGAACTACAGCAATCACCAAATCATTGTTCAAATTAATAAATCTGAATAATAGAATCAAAGAAGAAAACGAAGTCCTCCAATGGGGTTCACGGAAATCCAAAGTAAAAGCAATCTCCACATTCCCGTCCATGCTATCTTGCTCGCCGCCCCACTTCCATCACTCTCTGCTACTCTTGTTTCATTCGAATTATATATGGTATCAGAAGAAGAAACATAGAAGAAGAAGAAGAAACATAGAATTTACAATTAAGCAGTTGATTAAGAGAGAGAGAGATCTATACCTTGGGGAGATGGAGGTGGAACTGATGGAGATGAGGCAGAAGATGCAGCAACTGAAAATGAAAAGTAAATTAATAAATCAGCTAATAGAGTACTAGAACACCTAATTCCAAGTCGAACGGGCTGATCTTCATTATGAGTTAATTCGTCTCTACTCTTTACTGCTGATGAAGAGCTTTCCAAGTGCCCAGAACTAACAACACATCCATGACCACATACACAAATTAAATCTAAAATATGGATTAATTAAAGAAAGGACGATGGCAGCAGAGGAGCAGAGAGTTAAAGAAACAGTCAAGTTACCGTTGCTGCAGCCAGTAAGTTTAGTCTTAACTCCACAGGACTTGGGTAGCTCAAGGGCTTGTGTGACGTTGATGCCAAGAGATTGTGGGAGGCCGCTTTTATAGAAGTTGCAGAGACAAACAAATTGGTTCCTTATGGTTTCTTGAACAGCGTTGCAGCATGACTCGGGCGGAGTACTGGTTGAGTTTAAGTATTTGGCGCATGCGAGCAAAGGCGCTGCACACTCTGGATTCTGCTCCTCTGCCTGCTGATCACTTCCTCCCCCCACCAACGACAACCAAGTTGCTAGCACCACCAAAACCAATGCACCAACATCGCTCTTCTTAAAACGACCCATCATCTCTCTCTCTCTACTCGATTCTAGCTCCTAGCTATTCTCTCATTTATAATGGATTTCTAACCGTCTTCTAACAAGCAATTATAGTTTCTAACTTTCTAGACTTCCAACACAGCTCACAGCTGCATCTACCTGTTTTCCGTGAATGTTACAGCCTTTATATCGTTTCATATCTATCTACCTATATATCTATGGATCCAATCCATTATTAAGAGTACCAATCATTCAAATTTTAATTACTCCACTTCTCATGTTTAAAATTTTTCTTTATTTGTACGTCTTTCAATAAAAAAATTAAAAATTAATAATAAAATAGCTATCCTTAGTTTCTCTTAATTTCATTTTAAGGAAGGTTTTAAAAACCAATTCAAAACCGTAATCGTTCTTGCCACTGGTTTTTGGGTCGATGGTTCGACTATCCAATTCAAACAGATGACCTATTCCAACTTAAAAAACAATAAAAAATGGCCTAAACCCATTGAATGGGTCAAACGGGTTCAACTGCCCATGTCAACGGGTGATTAACTAAATCAACGGTTTTTGGCCAAAGACAAGGTTAAGGATGAAACAAAACCAGTTGATTGGACGATTTCCAAGCCAAAAGGTCCAACTTTTCGGATCAACAACAGTTCAAAAACACTAATTTTAAGAAAGATGGCATATATCTTTTATAATAGCATTATACATGACTAAACCAAGGGTACTTGTAGAACAACCCAAGTGGGTTGAGTTAGCCAACAAGGCCAACCTTAAAATCTAGACCTCGGCCAAGGCTCAGTCTGACCTCAAGGTTAAATCACAATCATAATCTATGTTAGACCTAGCACATGACTCGGATTGGGATCAAACCTAGGTGAGCTTGGTAGGCTGGCCAAGTTGAAAACTGATAAAGACAAAGGGACAAATGGGATGCTTGAGCTTATAGACCCATTTGGAACCAATGAGATGCTTCCCAAGAGGAAGGTCAACAATGGACCAAGTCTTGTTTCGCTCTAGTGCTTTAATTTCTTCTTGCATGGCCTAACGCCAATTGGAATCTCGAGAAGCCTGAGTATATGATGTGGACTTTGTGATGGCAATAGTCTTTGAGCCATCAATGTGGGGCTGATGTGTAGGACCATGGCAAACATAATCACGAAAGTAGCTTGGTGGCTTTTGATTTCGAGGGTGCTTGGTTGATGGGGCTGGTGAGTTTCCAGTGTTTGGCCCATTAGAAGACTCACTAGGAGTGAATTCAGTCTCATTTTATGTTGGCTCAAGGATAGAGTGAGAATTAGAATTAGACCTATTGTGGTGTTCAATGGGTGCAATGATGTCATCTTCAAGTTGTGGAAGAGGTATTACAACATTCGGAAGACCATGACTTTGAAATGTTTTGGTAATATCAGCCAACATAAAGAAAAGTGGTTTCGTAGAAAGTTACATTTCGGGAGGTGAAGTTACGCCCTATGGATAAGTTATAAACCCGATATCCTTTTTAACCATATGGGTAGTAGCCAACAAACAAGCATCAGACAGCTCTAGGGGCAAACTTGTCACCAGAAAGGGGTTGTTCTAATGCATAGCATATGCAACCAAATGTTCGAAAGTGATCGTAGGTTGGTGGCTTACCAAAAAGTAATTCAAATGAGGTTTTGCCATGTAGGGGTGCAGACAATAGATGATTGATGATGTTGGCAGCTGTTAGCACACATTCACCCCAAAATGAGTTGGGTAAAGAAGCATGGAATCAAAGGGCCCATACTACCTCCAAAAGGTTGTGGTGCTTTCTTTCAACAATGCCATTTTGTTAAGGGGAATCAATACAAGAGTGGTGATGGATGATCCCATGTGTAGAAAAAATTGTAGAATAGGTCCAAAGAAAAATTCTTTCCCATTATTCGATCTAACCATCTTGATTTTTTGATCAAATTGTGTAAGAATCATGTTGTAAAATGATACAAGTAGTTGATAGGTTTTAGACTTTTGTTTCATAAGAAATAACCAGGTACAACAGCTGTAGTCATCAACAGTTGTGAGAAAAAATTTGGCACCGGATAAGGAAGGTGTGTGTGTGATATGTTCCCCATATGTCGTAGTGTATGAGATCAAATGGTGCTGGTGCTCGTGTGGAGCTTATTGGAAATGGGATACGTGCATGTTTAGCTTGTTCACAAGCATCACATGCACCCTCTACTTGTGAAGGAAAGCATCCATCAAAACAAAGAGAAAGTTGTTGAACAAAGGGATGTCCAAGGCAGTTGTGCCATGTCTGGTACTCTTTATTCATGTATGTAGAAAAGGCAGTGGAGGAAGGAGAATGCAGGTGAGGTAGCTATAGATGATAGATGTCATTCCGCAATTCTCCTTGGCTAATCAAATTGTGAGAGACTGGGTCCTGTATTGTGCAATGCTTGGAGGAAAACAGTATGGTATAATACTACAATGCAATTGAGATATTAATTTGTTGATTGACAATAAATTGTGTTTAAATTGGGGAACATAAAGGACATTTGCGATGGTTAGATTGGGCTGCAAGAGAATTGACCCTCTGCGAGTGGCCTTCAAGGTGGAACTATCGGGTAAGCAAATTAAGGGTTGCATAGTTAAAGTTTCAAGATGCAGTAGTAGATCCTTATTGGGGCCATATGATGGGATGCTCTACTATCTAAGATCCAAGTACTTGAGTGATCAATGGAACAAGGAGTCTTACTAGCCATATTTGCAACATCAGATGTATTGGTAGAATTGTTGGTAAGAATCCTTAGTAGTTGAGTGTATTGCTCATGTAGGAGATTTGGGATTAATGAGTCCGTGAGAGGATCAGATTGTACACAATTTGTTGTGGTCTAGAAATGGCTATTCTTGGGTTTGTTAGATGCTTTGCCTTTTTCCCATCCCTCCAGATAGCCATTCAATTCATAGCAACGTTCCTTTGTGTGACCTTGCTTTTTGCAATGATCACATTTATATTTTAACTTGAAGTTGCCACAATTACCTGGACGTTGTGCAAAAGTTTGAAAGGCATGCAAAAGCATTAGGGGTCATGTTTCCTTTCTAAGAAAGAACAGCTTGTGTTTCTCTTCTTGTACCAACAAGGTGTAGGCACGATTGACACTAGGCAGAGGATCAGAAGCAAGAATACCCGATCGGATGCTGTTGAAGGTGTCATTGAGGCCCACTAAGAACTGGTTGAGCCTTTCTCTTTCACGATCTGCAATCATCTCCTTAGACGCGTCGCGGGTGCAGGCAAGTATTGGTGTGAGAGTTATTGTATCTTCTCGTAAAGTATGCAGCTATTGTATCTTCTCCTTGGTGCAAGAATGAGAGATTTATTTTGAGTTCATAGATTTGTGGAGCATTGCTCTGTGCGAATCATTCTTGAAGATTGGACCAAATTTCCCTTCCGAGCTCAGTGTATGCAACACTCTAATGCAACTCACGGGAAAGAGAGTTAAAGATCCAAGAAATGACCATGGATTTGCACTTGGACCATGATCTTTCCTCTGTCGAACCAAATTCAGGTCTCTAAAGACTGTCGTCAACGAAACCATACTTATTCTTTGCCTTCAAAGCGTTCTTCATGGCTCGCTGCCATGTTGCATAGTTATCTCCTGTCAGAGGACAAGAGACCAGAATCGCCCCTGGATTGTCCAAGGGTTGTAAGTAGCATGGTGAGATTGGATCCAGATGATCACTCATATTTTGAACAAGATTGACTGAAGTTGTAGAATTCGTCGGAGTATAAAGCCGGAACACAGATAGGGGCAGCGGAGGCAGAGTCGATTGTTATCGCTCTGATACCATGACAAAGACAAAGGGACAAACCGAAGAAGAAAGCCAGAAAATTGTCTTTCTATTCATGTTTGGTATACATGATCGGTGAAAAGCCACTTGGAAATTTGTCTTCCACGTGGACAAGATTAGTTATAGTAGATTCTTTCTTGCTAACAAAAACTAAGCAACCAAAACAACTTTCTAAAATATATAGCATTTCTTCTAATAATTCGATAAACTCATAATAGCAAAATGACACAAGGCATTAGATATTTAATTTCCGCATTAAATATGTCTAGCTAGAGGACTTTGGACTGAAAATAAAATACATATGGCATCACCATTCAGTTAATCAAAATCCAAGTACACAAAAGAAAGGCACACAAACAGGGAAGACATTCTCAAATACGATGATTCAAGTTTTACGTCCTAATTCTTAGTCTCAGATGCTCTTTATTTGCACTGGTTTAAACTTTAAATGCATGGGAGTGCAAAAAGTTTGTAAATTATAATTTATCTTTGCTTAAGACGTGACTTTGTCTTATTTGTTTGTAAGACGTAAAATGCAATGGTCCCCATTTTATATGAAAGACAACAAAAGTAGGAGGAAGGTTATTTGTTTTAGAGTGAGACAAGAGGTAAGTTGAAATACTAATGAGTGCAAAAGAGGCAAAAGTACAAATTATATGTTTGATAGGAATGCAAATCATATTACAAACAAATGGACGCAAATACTAAACTAGATATGAAACTACTTTTATGCAGTTTAGATTTACACTACAAACAAATGGAAACTAACAAGTAACGAAAAAAGCAAAAAACAAAAAAAAACAAAAGGTGAAGGAATTGAGCCAACCTGAACCTTGGATTAAGGGTGAGGGTTGAGTTCGACCTAACCTAACCTGTCGAACTTGCACCTAGGGGGTGGAGGGATGCTTCCCAATCTTGATAAAGGATTGAAGGAGGGATTAACAAATGCACCATTGTCTCCAGAATATAACCCTTATGTTCTTTCATAGCCCAACCTAGAAATGTAGAGTCCGGATCTCCTACGCATTCTTCCCTATAGAGCTTCTTGTACACCAAATCAGAGGGTGCCATGTCAGCACCCTCTCATGCTTAAATCTCACATGTGGGAGTGGGAGTAACAAATGTTTCAAACATTCTCCCATCCTATTTTTAATATATTAAAAGTCTAAAACAAATAAAAAATAGTGGTTAGGGTTTCTTCTTCCTATTTCGTT